TTAATTGTAGTCAACTTTACCAGCGTGAAAACTTTTAGTTAGTCACAAAGCTCTCGTTGAACCCATTCGGACACACACCCGGACGACAACTCTCTGCGGTACAGATTCCAAAAACAAATCTCAATTAAAAACTGAATGTCCAACGTCCCGCAGTCCCCAATCTCCGTACCTATGCTATTTCATAATGAGTTCGCTATGGAAACCATTGAGTAGGTACAAAAACATCCCAATCCGACCGTACACTCTAAGGAAATCGTCCAGCTAGGCTAGCAACGAAGTGTGGTCCTTCGTACCAGACTCTTAGCATACGGAGTGCGGTTACTGTGTCGGGTGTTTGTCAAAAAAAAAAACCATCCCATAGGACAATGGCTATATCCTGTATTTAACGTTAAACGTACCCCAACGACTGTGTTGCAAACTGCCTCGGTGAATTAGCTTTATTTCCGTTTAAACGACACGGACATCAACTGTTCGACAACAAATGTTCTCTATACAATATTCACAATCTCTTAGAAAAACCTCGGTCCAAATGATTTGCAGTTATTTTGCCTACTAAGGCATTGACGACGCACTCATTGAATCTGTATTGTTAAGGGGACAACAATCAAATTAAAGGTTAAGAATAAATTGCTATACAAAATAAACAATAACAACTATTTAAATACAGGATACATGTTGTGGGTTTTTTCTCTGCTTTGCTGGTGAAATTGCCAACCTTTTATGGGTGGGATTTCTGATTTCAAGACAACGGTTTGGAAGACACAAAAACGACGCGCACATCGTATTGTGAAAACAATATATACCTCTTCTCTGCTGCCCCGGAACGGTTAGGTGATAAGAAATAATTAAAAAAATAGGGTGGAAAAAAAAAACAGGAAATTACAAACATCAAGTGGGTCAAGCAGGAGGAACAGGAAGTGTACGGGACCTCGGTAACGTGTGGCCTTTGGAAAGGTTGACGGCGGTGGAAAGTGATGAATCGCATTTCGATAACAACCGATCTGCGGTCGGCGAAAAACTTTCCAATCTAAAATTACAAGCCGGCCGTGTCCAGGTAACAAAACCAATAATAAAACTTTTTTCCTCTTTCGGGCGCGGTTTTCCTGCTTTTCTTGGGTGTGGAAAATCTCATTAAACGTCGAATCCGTTATCACCGTCGGTGTCAACCCCCACCCCCCTCGACCCGCCCTTAGAAATCTAGGACGTTTCAAAGTTCCGGCAAAACTATTTTGATTTTGACTTTTGCAGAGATAGCGGAGAGAAAAGTTTTCCCGTCTCTCCGACTTGCGACGACCCGGAATTCCCGGTATTGCAATGCCAAGCCCGTGTGCCCGAAGTTTCGACGTTTAAATAATAAATAATAACTCGCGAGGAAATATTCAAATTAAAGTCACAAACTATTATTATTATCGTCAAAGTAAGGTGCAGGTGGCGCGAAATGTTCATACCGTTTTAATTATTATTGGTATGACGTTAGGTATATATTGCCTGCCCGCTACCGTTTCCGGCAGAATTAAAGTGACATATTTTACGGAGATAAACGTTATAGTGCCAGTGCTGTTTGTCTTCCAAACTGTAACGACTTAAGTTGTTATTAGAGACAATCATTGTTTAATTTTAATATTTTCTGAAAAATTCGCCGAAATCAGCGGCTATTGTTTTTCTAAGAACATTATTGGATTTAAGCAGAGTCGAATCGTTTTTGATTTCGACGGTTTAACGTAAAATTATGTATACAGCCATGTGTACGACCTCTTGGAATAATTATTGCAAATTATCTTTTTGGACACATTTTAGTTTATGTTGGTTTTACAATATTAATTTTTTTATTTCTATAGAGAATTTACCAAGCTCATAAGGGCAACAGAGCACAGGAAATGATTTTAAAAAAATGAAGATAGTATTAACAATAATAATGACAACAAAAAATAATAAAGGCAAAATTAACAATAATTATGATCAGGTCAAATTACTTGAAACGTTTTTTTAACCTGGTTCTTTGTTGAATATTATGTCTATATTCTCTAACGAGTTACGCAACATTAACACTGTAGAAAATATTTAAATGTTGATATTATTTGGTAAATTCTTTATGGTGTTCTAATAAGTTTCGAAACTTACAAAGTAACATGTTCAATACTTTATTGATTTTTTTAAATTAAAAAATAAAACGTTTTTTTTATTAGTTAATGTTATCTAACAATATTAAAAATGATTATCAAATAATTACCTTTTTTTGTATATTTGTTATGTTTGTGATATTTCACAATATTAGCTAAAATTCAAATATTTTTCATTTTTGTTGAATTTCAAAGTTGAATCAACTTCTAAAACAAATGTATATTTTATTTTATTGATTTTTTCAACTAATTACTAACAATTTTGACAAGTTTTAATGAAAACAATTTTTCAAAACTGTTATTCAATAATTTCAGCTAATTGGTTTTTAATTTGAAAACTTAATTAAACATGGTATACATGTTACCAGTTAAGTTTCGACAGTCGACAAACCTCTAGAATCGAACACATAATAAAAAAAAAGTTGTATATTGACTACAGCTGATGTAAAGTAACATAAACTAGAATATCGCCAATGAGAAAAACTAAGAAATTGTAAAAACGCATCACCCTGTGTTTAAATTAAAAATATTAAAATACAAATATTATACATTTTTATCAGGTTAATATATAGATAATAAAGCTATCATACAAACACCTTAACAAGGCGAGTGTCGACAAAAAAATTTACAGTGCTGTGAAAAATACAAAAAAAAAGCTAATTTTTTGATAATCGTTTTTAATATTGTTAAATAACATTAACTAATAAAAAAAACGTTTTATTTTTAAATTAAAAAAATCAATAAAATATATAAAATGTTATATAAATATTGTACAAAACCAACATAAATTAAAATGCGTCCAAATAGATAAATTGCGATTAATCCAAGAGGTCATATTATAATACACATAATTTTACATTAAACCGTCGAATTCAAAAACGATTCGACTCTGCTTAAATCCAATAACGTTCTCACAGAAACAATAGCCGCTGTTTTCGGCGAATTTTTCAGAAAATATTAAAATTAAACAATGATTGTCTCCAATAACAACTAACGTCGTTACAGTTTTGAAGACAAACCACACTGGTAAATGCTAATTTTAATTCTTCCGAAAACGGTAGTGGAGGCATAATATCATACATGCTGTGTATATATTGTATTGCCTAGGTTGGTTATATATATATATATATACTTTTTTAAGTATACAGTAAATATTAGATATTATTATTATTATTATTGTTATTATACACGCAGTGGTGGGTGGTGTGAGATGAAACGAGGGCCAATGGACGACGGCACTCAGATGTGCAAACACGAACGGTCGTGAAACTCGGCCAAGTGTTATTATTGTTATTATTTTTACTATCTATTTTTATTGCACTCATCTCTGCTCATCCCACGCAGAGGTCGAGGCCGTTCGAACCGACAACGACCGGCCATAACAACAAGCGCACTCGGATAGGACAACGACTCGTGTGTGATAATATAATATTATTATTATACATAAATATATATATTATACTCTCGGTTTTCGGGTCCAGAGCGAGAAACTCTACATTATACTTTGCACAAACATAAAACCCATTTGTAATACCATTTGCCAAACACACTGCACACACACATACAAAACCGACCGCTCTAAATAGTCCAACTCGGTTTGAGAAGAGAATTTTTTTTTTTTTTGCTTTACTTAACACAATATAAACGTTAAGCCGTTCCACTCGACTAAACTTTAGCCATTTCGCCAGAACCGTTTATTTGGTATGCAATGGCTGACGTTCAAGTTGTTTTCCTTTTATAAACTAAAAAAAAAAAAGCTACATACACTTAACAAAATTGCAATTGTGTAGTCTTTACCATTTTGGGGTCACTTTTGTTTAATAGGAAAATTTTCTGAGACGAAAATGCACTGAAATAGATTTCCTAGAATTTATCTCTATAAAAAATATTGTAAAGTACATGCAGAAAAATGCTATGTAGGTCAGGACGGTCCTGTTTTATTTTTACTACTTGACATGATAACATTATCAAACCCCAATAAGTTTTTATATCCGGTCCAGAACATTGTCATATTGTTATTTATAGGGACATTTTCTTTTGAAATATTTTTTTTATCAAATACTCATTTCGTTTACCGTTTTATTCATGACTTGACCTTTTCCAATATAGTTTATACGGAACGCGGTCCTTTTTCAAAACGACCCTTTCGATTTAACTCTATTATCATATTTTAATATATATATTTTCAGCGAATCTCTCCAATGAAATAATAATGTGGAACCCAGAAAAAAGTTTCCAATAAATTCAACATGCCATCATTCTGCTTTGTTTCATTTTTCTTAAAATTGTCTTAAAATAGATATTTTACTTTAGTTAAATAGTTTTACTACTGTTCTAATTATAAAAATTCCGACTTGGTTAAAATATTTAAATTGCTTATACATTTTTTTTTTTTTTTGGATAAAAAAAGGTGATTAAAAGTGAAACAGTTTTTGAAAACATCCCTTTTCTTTGTAATCCTGTATTATACTGGATCTTCTGATGTAAGACACTACATTTCCGTCTTTGCTCGTATGGACATATTTTATTAGGTTTTTCAATATAGCAGAAAAATTTTATCTTCATCCCTTACACGTAAAACAATTAGTATAGACCTCGTTTTTTCAAATGTGAACATGTGTATACAACATTACTAAATGTTAGCATTATGCCTTCACATGACCATCTTTATCGCAGTTATAGCAAACGAGCAGATTGATGACGGTTGCAAATTTAAACCTAAAAATTGTTTGCAAAACTTTTCGTTGATATGTTCCCATTTGGAAAAAACCAAATCCTTACTTCTACTTCCTGCCAAGTGCTGCTTAAGGGATGAAGGATGAATACACAAGTACAAGTAGATTTAGGGAGAAATAATTTTCAAAATATTCACGAACTTACCTGCATTGGAAGTCCTTCTCGTTCAGACACAAGTCCATGCAACCGGTCCTGGTCACGGACGGGTAATGTTGTCTGGCAGGCACTTTGAGCTCACCGCGAACCGTCTCGAAAGTCCAACTCCTTTGCTGACAGCTTTCCGGTGTTTGCAAGCACACTTTCTTGGCAACCGTTGTCGTGGAGTGAGTAGGATTTTGTAATCTTTTCAGAGGGAAGTCTGTAAAAATGACAAAAAAAAAAAAAAATTAATAATGTCACTCGAAATTCCATTAGAACAAACTTCAAACAAGTTTGTGTTTACCAAAAGCTTTGAAATAAAGTAAATAAATATTGTTTTTTTTTTTTTTGGTACAACTATCTAAATCCAATCGAAATATGCTTTATCAAAAATCAACAGCAATAAGTATAACACAATATCATTATTATACATCAAGTTACAATTGGATAAAGGTGCCAAAGACAAAGTTCTTTGGAATTACTTTTTTTTTTTTACTGCTTATTCAATCTCCTACTCCCTTTTTTCTTTTGTTCAGGTTAAGGTAAGGTTAAGGGAACGCTTTCTAATTCATTTTTCATATTTTTTTTTTGAGGAAAAGCAATAAGTCCACCAGCTGTGAAGTGCGAATGCAAAAAGAAAAAAAAAACATCAAATAATAAAAATCTGAAAATATGAAAATATGTTTCTAATGCAAAACGAAAAGGTTATTGCTTTTTTTTTTGTGACGTCTGCGTTCAGCAGAAATCCAATTGTTGGTGCTTTCCAAACGTTTTGGTTTTTTTATGACTTATTCGGATTTTCTCCAAAAACTTATTGGATGATTTTTTTTTCCATTGTGACGGGTATTTCCCGCAAAAGTTTCTATTGGAGATATTTAATTCATCACAGCGGTCAAGTGTGATCAATATTCATTCGCTCTTAAATAAATAAGCACATTATATTTTCCAATAAATCCGGGTTGAATTTAATACTGTCCTCCATCTTTTGTCTCTAATAATAAACAGTAAGTTGTTTTCGTTCTCTTTAGCAGGTTGACAGAGAACAATTATTATAGATCAAAAGTACCTTTCAAGGTATTTTCAAATATTTTTTTTAAAAGTTTACATAAGTTTTGTTAAGAAAACTTGTTGTTCTTTCGAAATAGGGATTCGTGTGACCTCTTTCCTTTGTATATATTAAATAGGGAACGTTCCACGTTGATGGACACTCATAATGTTTGAAATTTCCAATAATACTGAATAGTACCATCGAAAAGATTACCGCTATAGCTGTAAAACATGAACTTTTCATATTATTACTACAGCACTAATGCCACCGAAATATCAAAATATCATATTACTGCTATAGCAGTAATGACCGTCGACGTGTTAAGGAAAAGCCCATAATACAGGGTGATCCAACTAACGTAAGAAACTCATTTTCTCTAAAAATATCAATATTTAGAATATGTTTTTTCCCCTAAACTTTTAGGTACATATTTTACTAGAGTTTTCAATATTTTGAAAATTTTTATCACCAACCCTTGTCTACAAATTTATGTAATTAAAAACGTGTGTTGTCATGTAAAAAAAAAAACCAAAAATCCCCTTTTTTTGGCTTATAAGGATTGGTGATTGAAAATTTTTAAAATATTAAAAAGATGTAGTAAAATATGTACCTAAAAGTTTGGGAAAAAATTCTCAAAATTTCATATATTCCGAGAAAATGAGTACCTCACGTTAGTCGGATCACTCTGTATGCCGCATACAAATCCGCTAAATAATATTTTTTTACAAAGGTTTCACCGTTTTAATACTTTTTTTTTTTTAATGTCAAAATTGTCAAATGTACCGAAAACTTTTAATTGGCTTTTTCACAAAACCGTCTAACTTTTATACGCCCTTTGTCCGGGAAACGCCTCAACGATTATTGTAATGTACCCGTCCCAACTTGAAACTGTATAATCACTTCATCGACGTCAATCCCTTTGGCCGTACCCGCGAAGCAGGCATTTTCAGTTTAATTGTCTCGGTCGCGGTTCGCGTGGAATACCGCTCCCTTGGGGTTTTCCCCGAATAATAATAATAATAATAACAGTTATTATTATCATCATCCGACACGTTATTTATAGTTTACACTTGCACGCCGGCCTTTTGAACACGATAACGTTATTATAGCTGCACACGACGTTTAATTATATCATGAACATTTCTCGGTTTTACCCGCACCAAGGGGTTTTCCCCGCCGATTCCGGGTAAATATTGCCGAACTAACGACGAGCAATTTGTTGTTTACACCGCCGGTGCTGGTGGATTGGATTGAACTTTTCGAAACTTTTCACCGAGAAACCCTTGATCAGATTAAGAGACGTACCGGCTTTAAGAGGCGAAGACGGTTCACGGATTACGGCAATGGCAGAGGTGTCCGGAAAAGTTTTTTGAAAAAAAAAAAAAAAAATACTTACCCGGTCAATGCAGACCGAGCTACTACTATTTCTAACTAGGTTAGGTATGCGGGGAAGGAAATAGTTCGTTCTAGAAGTCGGGAACAGGTAAATTTGCCATTTATCAATTTCCAAAGAAAGTAACCGTCTGGATTCGTTAGCTTTATACCGTTTCGGAAATGTATTTTAAGTATTTTAAAGAGTAGAGCAATCCGTTGTAATAGAAATTGTATGATAGAGTTTCCATTTGAAATACTAATAATACCCAAAGGAGATAAGTGGCACACTCTAGATGGCACCAGAAACTTGGAGGATAAAATATGACTATTTATTTTTACTTGTTGATAAAGGCCATTCAAATAAGATTCGAACCCATTTAAAAAGTTTCCAAAAATGCCAATTTTGTTTCAATTTATCCGAGTTAAAACAAAGCAGCTTTATTTCAGTAGACCAGATCATCTGATCTGAACCATGTCGATTTACAGTTAAGCATATTATCTAGAGGGGGGTGGAAGTTAGCAAGCAACAAGTAAATAATATGCTCAAGAATGAGAAAGCACCAAGCCACGAAGCATTGTAGCAGACTTACTGAAAACAGGTGGAAAAGCGCTAACGCATAGACAATGCCATCAAAGGTGAGATTTATCATAGTATATGTCCTATAATGTAGTATGGTAAGGAGACAATGGGAGATTACCAAGCATTGTTTACACCGGTCAAGGCGACAGTTGGTTCAAACAAATAGCGGAGCACAAGTTGATCAGGATTCGAATTTAGTGGACTACATTAAACAAGCCTAACGGGGAGACGGTCTGGTCCGAGACAAGAGGATAAGTTTCTGCTTTTCAATGCTGCCCTTGAATTGGTGGCGAGGGGAGGGCAAAACAAAACCACATAACTATGAGAATCTGAGGAGAAAAAGTTGTGATAGCAGCAGCACGTGGAGTCGATTTGAATGATGTAGTACAAACAGCCACCGTGGAAATCAATAGAAGAATAACATCGGTATTTCTCGTTAGTGCTCCCGTTCTAAGGTCTGAACTATCATCGAGGGGAATGAACAGCCGGGCCGAACAAAGTCTTAGTCAGACCTATTGTGTACTGTTTGCGCGTGTAGGGGAGGACAAGAACGCACAATGACTCGGTTTCCTTTGAAGGAAAAACATTGGATAATGAATGTGTCTTCGAGGCGCCTTTGGTCTTGTTTGACATGCACTAACCCTTTCCCACCACCACCACCTCAGACGCACTCATCATTACTCCGTCTTTCCCCTTACCCTCCCCAACAAACCCGAATTTGTATTATTAATAAAAAAAAAATGTATATTAATGTTCATCGAATAGGCTTAACTAGAGTCATAAGTTTGCGCGAAGTTGAAGCGAAGCGTTTCGGGGGTTGTGTGTTATTATTTATTTCATCCCCTACTGACCTTAATAATAATAATAATAATCGGTTATGGCAGTGTGAATTCCCCACAAAAGCAACCCCTGACCCGACGCAAATGGAGTGGTGTTTTCACATTTAATTATCTCAAACGTGGCGGTGGAATTTAGGTCGAAGAGGTATTCCTCTTGTTAATAATAATTATCCAACGACAAATTATTATTCACCGGACCGACTTGTAGAAATCTACCTTTGGCCGACCGACCGAAAGGGAAAATCCTTTCCAAAAAGGTTCAAAATCCAAGTAGGTATAAAATAATATAAAAGACTGGAAAAACATAATTTAATATTATTTCCTCGAATTCGAACAATTTGCACACAACGACATGCGACGAATGTCATTTGAAAACGATTTGAATACCTCAAGCTTGCAAAATATATGTGTACAGAGAAAACTAATAATGCAACAGAAGCATTCCGCACGGCACCCACTTCCGGTAGTAGATTCCGGAAAAGAAGTAATATGATAAACTCGAATTTATAACAGCTGTCATAGTTGTTGTTTATTAAATTAAATATTCCAAATTCTATCTTTTAAGACTAACGGCAAAAAAATCTGATGTTCTGCGCAAAGAATTTAAATATAATAATGTTTTTTTTTTTAATCTCTTTATTCAGGAACGTCTTGCTATAGAAAAATAAAAAAATAATATAATATTTTTTATCTTTGGACATTGCATTTGCAACGGTCCTTTATTAATTTTTGGCTCTGCATATTTTATCATTGCCGTTTGAATAAACTCAAAATTTGACATAAGCGAATTAACAACAATTCAATACAGTTTTTAAGTACATACAGGGTGTTCAAAAACGGTCAATTTTTAGAGCCGTTATTGATTTTTTTTTGGTAGGTGTTATTTTATGCACATTTAAATTCAAAATCATACCTTAAGTAGTTTGCGCATGCGTGGTATCAACTTTTGAAATTTAAATGTGAACCCCCATATTTTTTTTTAGATATTCTGTTGGATTATTAAATGTTTAAGAAAATTTCGGTCGAATTTTAAATTTCTGCCAAGTAGTTTTTATAATATTGTCGCTGAAAAATGACAAAATTTGACAATTTCATGCTTTTTGTGAGAGCCAAGCTTCCACTTGCAACATTATTACATCTGGCTTAAAACAATTCATAAAAATACGACCTATTAAATTCATTTTAGTTCAGTTCTAGTGTGAAGGTTGTGAATACGGTTGTTAAATTATTATTCGACTGTGTTATAGCTGTTTTAAAATATTTTCTCATTTATACACTAATTTTATAAATTAATATAATTTAATTTAAATTTCATTTGTTATGCATAAACGCATTAGGTACTGTATAATATATTTGCCTTTTTAATATTTTGTGAGCGT